CGGCAACGGTAGCGGCGGCGAACGTCGTCACCCCATCACCGCCAGTGGTATCAGTACCTTGAGTGGTTCACTGTGTGTCACTTCACCGTACCGTAACACTCCTCCTTCTCCCGTTTAGCATCCTAACAAGCACAAGTTGGTTGCCAATCAACCCCACTTTCTCTCTTTCCCCTTCTTTTATCTCTTCCAGTTTTATTGTCCACCACCTCTCTGCTGGCACTATCTCTCCCTCCCTCCCTCTCACTTACCTCTACATTTCAGTACCGGTATATGTTTCCCTCCTCTGCCAGACAACAACGCAACTCCCCGCTTCGTCTCATATCGCTCGTCTCGCTTTGTATTCTCTGAATAGCTTTTCAACTGATATTTTTTTCATACAATGTATTCTCTTAGACTGTGGTTCTTCAACGGGATCAATCTTCCTTCGGTAGTGATTCTCTTGATCATATTTGTACTCTATATACGGATTGCATAATACAATGGCAATTATCTCTTTGAATCTGCTGAGTTGGTGGTGGTGGTGATAAACAGTAATGACCTCCACTTTTAATGAGTGTAATTTTATAGCCACTTTTAAAATGGGCCAAAGCTGCGGCTAAAAGCAGGCAAATTGAGAATTTTTCAATCAACTGCCCCGACGTACGTTGAGACTGCTGGCTGAACCGGGAGTTGTCAGAGTGGGCACCATTCCCAGCAGCTCATGTTCCCGCAGTATGATGGGAAACCAGGGGTGCTGACAGAGGCTGAAGATGTCCACTCGTTTCTTCACCTCCGGCTCGAGCATCAGCGCAATGACGTCCTTCAGCTCGTCGGTGCATCGACGGGCCACCTCCTCCTCCAGGTGGTACTCTCGGGTCATCTGCTTCTCGTACATCACCTCCTTGCCGTCGTGGCGGTCGAAGGGGTAGTTCTGGTTGATCATCACGAAGAGCATTACACCGCAGCACCATATGTCGCCTAGGGGGATTGAAGAAGTACGTTACAGACATTGGCTGATTCAAGTGATTGAGTGATGGGTTACCTTTGAAAGGGTCGTAGGGAATGTGCTTGAGAATCTCCGGTGGATTGTAGCTGGTGGTGCCGCAGTAAGTGTCACTCTTAATGGCCTCGCCAGTCTTGTTGGACACCTTCACAAAGCGACTGAAGCCTAACAAAGTTAGTTAGGAGTTAGTCATTTTAAAGTTACTAAAACACTTCCCACGTAAACAAACCAAAATCGCTGACCACAGGGTTGTAGTGCTCGTCCAGGAGAATGTTGTCCAGCTTCAGGTCTCTGCAACAAAATTAAAAGGGGGCTAAATGGAATTAGGACTGGAACCATCAACAGTTACCGATGGGCAATGCTGCGCTCGTGAAGGTACTTGACGGCGCGGGCCATGGCCGGAAACCAGACCTTGCAGTTCCACTCAGAGAGGGGGCCGTGCTTGTTGACCACCGTGCCCACGGTGCCGTTAGCCATGAAGGGCATTGATATGTAGACGCGACTTTTTGACCGAAACAGGTCCACCACCTTCATGCAGTTTGGGTGCTTGATGCCGCCCAGGATGGACAGCTCCCGGCGGAGGTCCTCATCCAGTTTCGCCTGGTCCTCCGGCTGGACGGGCACCACCTTGATGGCGTACTCCTTGCCGTCTTTCATCGTTCGGTAGACATTTGCCTGGCCGCCGGCGCCGACGCGCTCAAAACCAGTGTAGCCGCGCTTGATGATCACGTCCATTCAATGGGGGCACTAGAAAGTTGACTGTGCTTTTCAAAACAGTGAAGTTAGAATACGTAGCACTGCTGAACTGTTTTGTTGACTAGTCAGGACACTTCCTTTTACAAAATTGAAGTGCGCTCGTTAAAGTTCGATCACACTGTCGTATTGCGTAATTGGTGTTGGTTATTTGCATAGAAACAAAAATTGAACAAATGTACCATTTGCACTCCAGACAAAGTTAATCGGAAATCCTAATTTTGCTATCGTGACTGGATTGTCACTCAAAATGATAGGGCCACTGCTCTACTACCACTCTTGTGCAGCACTGAACTGGTTATCTGTCTGATAATGCACTCTACTGTTTAACCATTCCTTTGAGGGCAAGAAAAATGTTATTTAAGACTTGAAAAGTAGACATATTTTCATGCTCAAACACTACCATTTTTTCCACAATGCCATCAAACAGCAGCAAATCACTGCGCATCGTAGTTCTGCCCGTCAATGGCCAGGGTCACCTGAACGCCTGTCACGGCCTTTGTGAGGAGCTGCGAGATCGCGGCCACCAGATCATCTTCCTCCTCGACCCCGACTTCAGTGGCCGCCTGAAGCGGTACGGCTTTGAGGAGGTGCTCCTGCCGGCCATTGAGAAGCCGACCGCCGGCGACGGCAAAACCTTCTGGCAGTCCTTTGTGGAGCACAACGCCGGCCTCTTCGCTCAGACCGCCCTCAGCCAGATGACTAATCTGCTGCCGTTGGTGTTCAGGGCGGTCTTTGAAGCTCAGCTCGCTTGTGAGGCGGCAGTGCAGGCGGCCATCGACCAGCTGCAGCCCGACCTGATCATCCTCGACTCGTACGTCTCCACGCCGCCGGTGGTCAACAGCAGCCGGGACATTCCCTGGGTGTGGATGTTCAGCGCCTCGCCGCAGGCGATGTTCCTTGACCCCAAACTGCCGCCCTTCTACACGGGCCTTCCACTCGGCGATACCAGTCAGTGGAGGGAGCACGAGCAGGCAACCACAAAGGCACTGGGCCCGTTGAGGACGCTGATCAGTGAGCACAGCGTCCGCAGCGGCGGTCAACCGATGCCAGCCGGTAGACTCTTTCACGAGTACTCGCCCTTCCTAAACCTGTACATGAGTCCGCTGGAGTTGCAGTACAGCAGGGAGCTGCTCAGTACCTCGGTGCCCTCCAACGTCATCGGAGTGGACTGTTTTCTTCGTACGACCCCCAATGAGCGCTTCAGCCTGCCGGCGCAGCTGGCCGACCGACCGGGGAAGCTGGTTTTCTTCTCCATGGGCAGCTTTGGCTGCTCCAGTCTCCCGCTAATGACCCGACTGGTGGCCATTCTCGCCAAGTCGCCGCATCGTTTCATCGTTTCCAAGGGCCCACTAAAGTACGAGCTGCCAGGGGAGAACCTCTGGGGAGAGGAGTACCTCCCGCAGACGGCGATCCTTCCACTCGTTGATCTGGTCATCACACACGGCGGAAATAACTCGGTAAGTTCAGCTTCTTTAGCCACTGTTTGATCAGCATTTTTAACGTCTTTCTTTCTTCTTCAGGTAACTGAAACCTTCCACGCTGGTAAGCCCACCTTGCTAATGCCACTCTTTTGCGATCAACACGATAATGCTCAGCGAATAGCCGAAACTGGCCTAGGAAAGCGACTGAATCCGTTTACCTGCACGGAAAAACAGCTGCTAACTACCATCGATGAACTGCTTGCCGACGATGAGCTTACGCAAAGAATGGCCAAAATTGGCGAACGCATTCGCGGGTCAATGAAAGAGCAGAGGAAGGCGGTTGCCGACTCTATTGAGCAGATCTGCTCAGAGCATAAGGTTCAGAGGAAATCTTAGCGACGTTTTAGTTTGTCATTTAGTAATCTGAAAATGAACGTTTGCTTTTATTAAAGATACAAAGACAAAGGTGAAAAGACAAACACTGAAAAAAGATCTGCCCTTTAGATGAAAATAAAAAAAATACATTTTTAACTTGAAAAAGTATCAAATAAAAAGTAAACTCTGGCAACGGCCGGTGCAGCAGTTGGCTGGTCCTGTCAGCTCAGATGAGGCCGACGATGACTAGTGAGAGTGTGGGCGCTGAGGACGAGCATCGTCATTGTCATCGTCCATTTCCTGGACCTCTTCTGGAATGTTCGCCACGTCATTCCCAGTCTGAACGGCCGCATCTCGGAACAGCAGCTCACGAATGCCACCGGGCAGAAGCTGTCTGAGAGGAGGAGGGCCCTGAGCAGCTTCGGCAGCAGTAGGGCCGGTATCGTTGTCATTGGCGATCCCATTGGCGGCGGCAACGGCGGCAATATCCGCCTCAGTGATGGCCACTCGGCGGAAGGCAAACGTCTGGCGACGTCTTCCACCAGGAGTAAGTGGACGAATGCGGGCAGCTCGGCCGGCGATGGCCGCCGGAGAGCCACCTCGAGAGCCTCGAGAACCCTCACTGCGAGAGCCCTCAGTGTCGCTGTCCCCTNAGAGGAGGAGGGCCCTGAGCAGCTTCGGCAGCAGTAGGGCCGGTATCGTTGTCATTGGCGATCCCATTGGCGGCGGCAACGGCGGCAATATCCGCCTCAGTGATGGCCACTCGACGGAAGGCAAACGTCTGGCGACGTCTTCCACCAGGAGTAAGCGGACGAATGCGGGCAGCTCGGCCGGCGATGGCCGCCGGAGAGCCACCTCGAGAGCCTCGAGAGCCCTCACTGCGAGAGCCCTCAGTGTCGCTGTCCCCCTCTTCAGAGTCCTCATTGGTCGCGTCATCCAGCTCATCATCCTCAGTTGTCTCGTAGTCCTCTCCGGTGGCGTCAAAAGTGGCATGCCCCACCTCGCCAGTCGCCAGCTGCGGCTGCGGCAACAGGCGGACTCGGTTCTTGATGATGTCATCGGTGCGCAGGTAGATGACGTGCTGATTGGAGCTGACGCGAATGTTGAACGTACGGCCGTACAGTTTGACGCGAGTGCCCGGCGCGACCACCGTCGGCTGGCCGTAGTAGTCGTTGAAGTTGCCCTGCACGAGGACCGCCTTTCCCAGCAGCAACACTCGCCGCTTCGGCTCCAGAGGCTGCAGTTTGGCGTGGCAGTAGAGGAGAACGGCCATTGCCTTGCCGCACAGCTGCACCTCCACGAAGGTTGTCGTCTGCTCCAGGAGGAGGCTGGCCAGCTTCTCGAAGAAGTGCTCCTGGTTTCGGACTTCAATCTTATTACGAACGCCCGCTCGGTTGAGGACGTTGCACTGCTTGTAGAGGCGGTCGTTGATGAAGTAGTAGGCGATGCCCGTCTGGTCGCCAATCGCCCACTGTGACTTGTTTGAGCGAATCTCCTCCAACAGGGCGGAGATCTGGCCCACATTGGAGATGGCCAGGGCGGAGGAGGCACGGCCAGTCCGGGCACTGCCCAGGTCGATTGATTCACTCGACGCTGAAGTGGTGTTGCCAGATGAGGGTGACGTGCTCATGATGATGACGATGCGTAGAAAAAAGTTTTCTTGTAAAAGGCTAAATGAGAAATGAGAAAAATTCAACAGCAAAACAGACTAATTTATTGCAGTAAAAAATAGGTCAGAAGTAGAATTTTTTAGGAACTTTTTGAAATAAGCATGACTGGACTTTTGTTGCGCATGCCTAAGAAGTTGCTGAAAATTTAAAACATAAATCAACCTAAATTTTAAAATACAAAACGTTTTACTGCTACACCTTATNTAACTTTAAATTTTTAAACTTTTGTGAAAATCATTCGAGAAAGCCAAAGGTTTGCTAAAAGTAGCAATGTACTCTATTTGGAGTCGACCATATTGGCAAAAAAACCATTATCTTACTATCAAGTATCTATTGCCAAGTAACAAATGTCGGCAAAGTGTCTAAAAAGCGGCTTTCGGAGCTATCATTCAACTCGCTAAGAAACAAGATAAATAGTAATACTTTGA